CTGACCAATCACCTCACAGCGATCTGACCAATCACCTCACAGCGATCTGACCAATCACCTCACAGCGATCTGACCAATCACCTCACAGCGATCTGACCAATCTGACCAATCACCTCACAGCGATCTGACCAATCTGACCAATCACCTCACAGCGATCTGACCAATCTGACCAATCACCTCACAGCGATCTGACCAATCACCTCACAGCGATCTGACCAATCACCTCACAGCGATCTGACCAATCACCTCACAGCGATCTGACCAATCACCTCACAGCGATCTGACCAATCTGACCAATCACCTCACAGCGATCTGACCAATCTGACCAATCACCTCACAGCGATCTGACCAATCACCTCACAGCAATCTGACCAATCACCTCACAGCAATCTGACCAATCACCTCACAGCGATCTGACCAATCTGACCAATCGCCTCACAGCGATCTGACCAATCTGACCAATCGCCTCACAGCGATCTGACCAATCTGACCAATCGCCTCACAGCAATCTGACCAATCTGACCAATCGCCTCACAGCGATCTGACCAATCTGACCAATCACCTCACAGCGATCTGACCAATCACCTCACAGCGATCTGACCAATCTGACCAATCGCCTCACAGCAATCTGACCAATCTGACCAATCGCCTCACAGCGATCTGACCAATCGCCTCACAGCAATCTGACCAATCTGACCAATCGCCTCACAGCAATCTGACCAATCTGACCAATCGCCTCACAGCGATCTGACCAATCTGACCAATCGCCTCACAGCGATCTGACCAATCTGACCAATCGCCTCACAGCAATCTGACCAATCTGACCAATCGCCTCACAGCGATCTGACCAATCACCTCACAGCAATCTGACCAATCTGACCAATCGCCTCACAGCGATCTGACCAATCGCCTCACAGCGATCTGACCAATCTGACCAATCACCTCACAGCGATCTGACCAATCTGACCAATCGCCTCACAGCAATCTGACCAATCCCCTCACAGCGATCTGACCAATCTGACCAATCATCTCACAGCGATCTGACCAATCCCCTCACAGCGATCTGACCAATCTGACCAATCCCCTCACAGCGATCTGACCAATCTGACCAATCATCTCACAGCGATCTGACCAATCGCCTCACAGCAATCTGACCAATCACCTCACAGCGATCTGACCAATCACCTCACAGCAATCTGACCAATCATCTCACAGCGATCTGACCAATCTGACCAATCGCCTCACAGCGATCTTACCAATCACCTCACAGCAATCTGACCAATCCCCTCACAGCGATCTGACCAATCTGACCAATCGCCTCACAGCAATCTGACCAATCACCTCACAGCGATCTGACCAATCACCTCACAGCAATCTGACCAATCATCTCACAGCGATCTGACCAATCTGACCAATCGCCTCACAGCAATCTGACCAATCACCTCACAGCGATCTGACCAATCACCTCACAGCGATCTGACCAATCACCTCACAGCGATCTGACCAATCACCTCACAGCGATCTGACCAATCACCTCACAGCGATCTGACCAATCACCTCACAGCGATCTGACCAATCACCTCACAGCGATCTGACCAATCACCTCACAGCGATCTGACCAATCACCTCACAGCGATCTGACCAATCTGACCAATCACCTCACAGCGATCTGACCAATCACCTCACAGCAATCTGACCAATCACCTCACAGCGATCTGACCAATCTGACCAATCGCCTCACAGCGATCTGACCAATCTGACCAATCGCCTCACAGCGATCTGACCAATCTGACCAATCACCTCACAGCGATCTGACCAATCACCTCACAGCGATCTGACCAATCACCTCACAGCAATCTGACCAATCACCTCACAGCGATCTGACCAATCTGACCAATCGCCTCACAGCGATCTGACCAATCTGACCAATCGCCTCACAGCGATCTGACCAATCTGACCAATCGCCTCACAGCAATCTGACCAATCTGACCAATCGCCTCACAGCGATCTGACCAATCTGACCAATCACCTCACAGCGATCTGACCAATCTGACCAATCGCCTCACAGCAATCTGACCAATCTGACCAATCGCCTCACAGCGATCTGACCAATCTGACCAATCGCCTCACAGCGATCTGACCAATCTGACCAATCGCCTCACAGCGATCTGACCAATCTGACCAATCGCCTCACAGCGATCTGACCAATCTGACCAATCGCCTCACAGCAATCTGACCAATCTGACCAATCGCCTCACAGCGATCTGACCAATCTGACCAATCACCTCACAGCAATCTGACCAATCTGACCAATCGCCTCACAGCGATCTGACCAATCTGACCAATCTGACCAATCGCCTCACAGCAATCTGACCAATCTGACCAATCACCTCACAGCGATCTGACCAATCTGACCAATCGCCTCACAGCAATCTGACCAATCCCCTCACAGCGATCTGACCAATCTGACCAATCATCTCACAGCGATCTGACCAATCCC